GGGGGTGTTTTTGCATGTGATGTTGTTTCCATGAGTAACTAGTAGCTCACCATATGTTTAGTCCTGCTGGAGCTGGGGATGTTTTGCCTACTAATGCATGTACCCCATGAGTGATTTTTTTCCAGCATTTGCAATGCCAGCATTTTGAGGTGTCCCTGAAAATAAAACTGATTAAAATCATAGCAAAAACATTCTACCTTCAACTTTGCCATTTTAATTGTGTTTTCCTAGAGGCAAGGAAATGCACAAAGTCTTTCTCAGGCAGAAAATTTCCTCCTTTCCACATTCTCTATTTCTGTCTTTTAGACCGAGATCAGTGAAGATGACATCGAACCCAACTTTAAAAGGCTTTTTGGACAGCTAGCAGGAAGTGTGAGTATTCTTCTGGTAATATCTTAATGGCATCATGGGTGAGTGGGTAAGAGAGACACCTCCCCCAGGACAGAGTTTAGTTCTTGGGCTGAGTCAGATTTCAAGTGCGTGCATAATCGTGCGTGCTGTGATTTGTGAGCGCTCCTGGTGAACAGTCTTTAGCTCTCTTTGAACTGCAGGCTCGACTTTTATCTCTGCAGGGCCCTAATTCTGTCCTTGGGCAGAGCACATGGTGCAGGCACAGGGGTGCCTCGAGGGCTGGGCTGTGCCTTCTTTCCCAGCTGCCCTCGGCTGCCTGGGGGCTCGGCACAGCTTGCTGGATGTGCTAATGTCTGGGAATTGGTGGTGCTCCTGGGAATGGGAGGTTGGGAAAGCTTAGTGCTTGGAACTCGGAGGGATGTTTGAACTTGGCCAGCTCACACAAAGGAGTCAGAGGCTGCAGGTGGTGTCTGCAGCTCACAGTGAAAAATTTGTTTTCCTCTTCTGCACAGGATGCAGAGATCTCAGCCTTTGAACTGCGCAGCATCTTGAATAAAATCATGGCTAAACGTAAGTACCTTCCTCCAACAGCAGCTTCAGTTGGCCACCAGCGGCTTTCCAGCGTGGCCGTGGGAGCACAGAGGGCACCACCAGCCTGGGCAGACTCAAAGCCCTGGGCTCTGCCCCAGACCTGCCCTTGGCTCTCCATATGGCCACAGCCACATGCTCTCTCTGCTGCTTCAGGGGGCTGCAGAAAGGCTGGGGCTGTGCCAGCCCAGAAGGTGTTTCACAGGATGTGTGCTTTGGCAGGGTACATAAGGGTGTCTTTTATCCCAGCATCTGCCACTGGGAATTGGCAACCAGGAAGATGGACAGATTTGATTAGTGCTTGATAATAATCAAGAGAAGTATGGCTGCTACTTCAGTATTGAACCACTCCTGAGTGGTTCAAACAGTAGCCCAGCCAACGGTCTGCAGTATCCCTAAGGAGGAGGAGAAACTTTGAGGCTCTGGGCTGCTTTTTCTGTAAAGTGATTCCTAGCTTGGCTCTGCATTATTTTCCTTTCCATTAAACAGTGCTCAAGAAATAAGTGTTTAGAGAAATGTGTCTCTTTAATTTCCAAAGTGAAATGTTATCCAGATGGTCAGGACTGTGTTGTATGTCTGTGTACCCCAGCCAGTTAGCAATGGGGTATTGCTGGTTACCAAGCTTGATTTGATATTCAGCCCTTGCATGAAGCTACCGACTGTTCACTTCTGTAAGTTAAAAGTCCATGTTGTGCACAGAAGTCTACAGTTGTCTTTGAAGGCAGACAGTAAGGGCAGGAAAGCTTTTATCTCTGTCTCTTGCTTCTGTAGCACTACTTCTGACTAGACTAACTGGGCTGTTTGCTTGGGGAAACATCCCAGCTGACTCTCACTCGAAGCCTTTCATTCATCTGCGAAGGAAGCCACAATCCCGGAAGCAAATAAGTGCTGGTGTGTGTGTCTACACTGGTTAGGAGCTCGTGAGCCATTAGAAGGTGTTGTGGTACAGCATGCAATGATAATCCTGTCTTTTGCTCTTTCTTTACAGGCCAAGATATTAAATCAGATGGCTTTAGTGTTGAGACATGCAAAATAATGGTTGACCTGTTAGATGTATCCTTTAAGGCCGTTCCTAGGTGATGTTCCTCTGCCTGTGCTGAAGTAGGTGAGCTGCCTTTGCTGCCTGGTGGGTCCGTCCTTATGTAGTAATGACACCTGAGGCGAAGAAGCTGGTTTTACCCTGGTTCCCCTGAAAAAGCAGGCCCTTGCTATCACTGCTCACCATGACACATGCATTCTCCCAGGCAGCAGGGAAAATCCATTATCAGATGTTACGATCTGCTTTGAAACCTTCCCAGCTGTTGTGTGTTCTGGTTTAGCTGGGGACAAAGTGGTGTTTGTGCTGGGAAAAGGCAGCTGGCTCTCAGCATGGAGTGGATGGCCTTGGCTGTAGAGTTGTACGTGCATATCTTGGGTGCACTTCACCTCTCTGTTATCTGGCTGGAGTTGTAAGAGCATCATAAAGCCATGAGGACCTAGCAAATGGAAAATGAGGGAAACAAATACAGGAAGCTGGGAGTACACAGGATTTTAGGAGCTTTTTCCTCGATCTGGGCAAAATTGTAGGCTGCAGGTTAAGTCTAGACTAGTTGTGTTCAACTTCTCTGTGCAGTGGAGTTGAATTGCAGAGTAGAAAAAGGACAATTACCAAACAAGGTGTGTCTGCTATTTGGTGTAAAATTATGGCAGTCCTAAGGACTCCGTAGCAGGATTTTGGGAGCGATGCCACAACCAAGCCTGCTATTTGCAGAACTTAAGTTCTTGTGCAAACAGCTAACAAAAGAACCTGGTCGTGGCATCGCTCCCAAAATCTGCTACGGAGTCCTTAGGGACTGCCATATTTTACACCAAATTATAGCAGAGCATCACCTTGTGTTGGTAATTTTCCCTTTTTCTAACTCTGCAATTCAACTCCCACTGCACAGAGAAGTTGAACACAACTATTCTAGACTTGAACCTTCATCCTACACTTTTTCCCATATTCTGAGGAATAAAAGCTCCTAAAATCCTGTGTACTCCCAGCTTCCTGTATTTGTTTCCCTCATTTTCCATTTGCTAGGTCCTCATGGCTTTATGATGCTCTTACAACTCCAGCCAGATAACAGAGAGGTGAAGTGCACCCAAGATATGCACGTACAACTCTACAGCCAAGGCCATCCACTCCATGCTGAGAGCCAGGTGCCTTTTCCCAGCACAAACACCACTTTGTCCCCAGCTAAACCAGAACACACAACAGCTGGGAAGGTTTCAAAGCAAATCGTAACATCTGATAATGGATTTTCCCTGCTGCCTGGGAGAATGCATGTGTCATGGTGAGCAGTGATAGCAAGGGCCTGCTTTTCAGGGGAACCAGGGTAAAACCAGCTTCTTCACCTCAGGTGTCATTACTACATAAGGACGGACCCACCAGGCAGCAAAGGCAGCTCACCTACTTCAGCACAGGCAGAGGAATATCACCTAGGAACGGCCTTAAAGGATACATCTAACAGGTCAACCATTATTTTGCATGTCTCAACACTAAAGCCATCTGATTTAATATCTTGGCCTGTAAAGAAAGAGCAAAAGACAGGATTATCATTGCATGCTGTACCACAACACCTTCCTAAATAGCTCACGAGCTCTCTAACCAGTGTAGACACACACACCAGCCCTTATTTGCTTCCGTGAGATTGGTGGCTTCCTTCGCAGATGATGAAGAGGCTTCGAGTGAGAGTCAGCTGGGATGTTTCCCCAAGCAAACAGCCCAGTTAGTCTAGTCAGAAGTAGTGCTACAGAAGCAAGAGACAGAGATAAAAGCTTTCCTGCCCTTACTGTCTGCCTTCAAAGACAACTGTAGACTTCTGTGCACAACATGGACTTTTAACTTACAGAAGTGAACAGTCGGTAGCTTCATGCAAGGGCTGAATATCAAATCAAGCTTGGTAACCAGCAATACCCCATTGCTAACTGGCTGGGGTACACAGACATACAACACAGTCCTGACCATCTGGATAACATTTCACTTTGGAAATTAAAGAGACACATTTCTCTAAACACTTATTTCTTGAGCACTGTTTAATGGAAAGGAAAATAATGCAGAGCCAAGCTAGGAATCACTTTACAGAAAAAGCAGCCCAGAGCCTCAAAGTTTCTCCTCCTCCTTAGGGATACTGCAGACCGTTGGCTGGGCTACTGTTTGAACCACTCAGGAGTGGTTCAATACTGAAGTAGCAGCCATACTTCTCTTGATTATTATCAAGCACTAATCAAATCTGTCCATCTTCCTGGTTGCCAATTCCCAGTGGCAGATGCTGGGATAAAAGACACCCTTATGTACCCTGCCAAAGCACACATCCTGTGAAACACCTTCTGGGCTGGCACAGCCCCAGCCTTTCTGCAGCCCCCTGAAGCAGCAGAGAGAGCATGTGGCTGTGGCCATATGGAGAGCCAAGGGCAGGTCTGGGGCAGAGCCCAGGGCTTTGAGTCTGCCCAGGCTGGTGGTGCCCTCTGTGCTCCCACGGCCACGCTGGAAAGCCGCTGGTGGCCAACTGAAGCTGCTGTTGGAGGAAGGTACTTACGTTTAGCCATGATTTTATTCAAGATGCTGCGCAGTTCAAAGGCTGAGATCTCTGCATCCTGTGCAGAAGAGGAAAACAAATTTTTCACTGTGAGCTGCAGACACCACCTGCAGCCTCTGACTCCTTTGTGTGAGCTGGCCAAGTTCAAACATCCCTCCGAGTTCCAAGCACTAAGCTTTCCCAACCTCCCATTCCCAGGAGCACCACCAATTCCCAGACATTAGCACATCCAGCAAGCTGTGCCGAGCCCCCAGGCAGCCGAGGGCAGCTGGGAAAGAAGGCACAGCCCAGCCCTCGAGGCACCCCTGTGCCTGCACCATGTGCTCTGCCCAAGGACAGAATTAGGGCCCTGCAGAGATAAAAGTCGAGCCTGCAGTTCAAAGAGAGCTAAAGACTGTTCACCAGGAGCGCTCACAAATCACAGCACGCACGATTATGCACGCACTTGAAATCTGACTCAGCCCAAGAACTAAACTCTGTCCTGGGGGAGGTGTCTCTCTTACCCACTCACCCATGATGCCATTAAGATATTACCAGAAGAATACTCACACTTCCTGCTAGCTGTCCAAAAAGCCTTTTAAAGTTGGGTTCGATGTCATCTTCACTGATCTCGGTCTAAAAGACAAAAATAGAGAATGTGGAAAGGAGGAAATTTTCTGCCTGAGAAAGACTTTGTGCATTTCCTTGCCTCTAGGAAAACACAATTAAAATGGCAAAGTTGAAGGTAGAATGTTTTTGCTATGATTTTAATCAGTTTTATTTTCAGGGACACCTCAAAATGCTGGCATTGCAAATGCTGGAAAAAAATCACACATGGGGGTACATGCATTAGTAGGCAAAACATCCCCAGCTCCAGCAGGACTAAACATATGGTGAGCTACTAGTTACTCATGGAAACAACATCACATGCAAAAACACCCCCACGGCTGAAAGCTGCACTCTCGGATTCCTGGAGAGCAAAGGGAATTTCCTGTGGCTCCAGTTAACCCTTCAGAGTGTACCTGACCTCCTCCACCTAGGAAGTCCAAGATCTGGATAAAGCACATGTTTCCATTACACTGCTTATGATATTTCCACTTGCTTGACACTCAGTTATGGATATTGAAAGATCTTTTCCCAAAGTACTTGATAATGCCTATTGAAAAATATTGCTCTGCACAGGGAATAGGCACTCCAACCTCTGCTTATTGACAACAAAACTACCTCAATTTAAAACATTTGAGATACCTCTTCAAAATTGGCCTCAATTTCATCGTCTATCACCCTAGAAAGATAAAGAAATCAATATTAAAATCAAAACAGATCACTTTTATGATGCTTTTCCTCCAAGCTTCAGTTAAAGAGAGATTCTTTAAAATACGGAAATAATAATTAGTACTCAAAAGTTACTGGATTAATCAGTGATAGACACTGCATACCACAGGGAAAGCAGTATTTTGCCAGCTATGGCAACACATTACAAGCTGTGCAATGTCCTGCAGAGCCACAGACAGGATTTTGGGCCACACATAACTCTTTGGGTCACTCAGTGTCACTGCCTAGAGACCTTAGCCCAGGACCAGGCTCTTGGGTGCAAATCAAACTTTATCTAGTCACTTTTTTTTTTTCTTTCTTTTTCCTTTAAAACAGAAAAAAGCGAGAGCCCTAAACTGTGAAGTGTTTCATGCTGTCCCCCAGGTGCTGTGGGAGCACCACACCTACTTAAGCACTGCTAAGGGCCCAACCAAAGCTGAATGTGTTCTCACACAACAGACATCTCAGCTTTCTCACCACAGCAGAAACATGCAGCAAAATATTACAAGATAGAAAAAGGATTTTGCTTGCTTTGAATCAGGGAACTTAATACAAAAGATATCACATCCCTTCCTGAGGCTTTAGCCCAGCTGCTCTTTAAGATGTGACATCTAAATTTTTTCATGGTTTTACAGCTCACAGTGTGGTTTGAGCCAGTTCTGTTAAAAACCCTTTTAACTTTATCAAAGGTATCAGTTGGTTGAGCAAGCATCTTGAAATTTTTCCAGTTTGATCTCAACCGAGTGAGATCAATTGTGTTGATCTGTGTGTTCCCAGGCAACTGAAAGCACTGGCATTTCTGTCTCCCAAGGGGACAGCCCAACCTCCCCCCCGGGGCTTTCCTCTCTCCACAGACTTAACTGTGCTGTAGCACCCACTTGCCCAAGGCCCCGTAACTACAAATGTCTGCTCAGGCAGGGATAATTATGACAACAACAATAATAAAAAGTTGTACTAAATATTATTACTTTTCTTCCACCATTTCTTCCTGCTAAATTTACTCAAACTTTCCTTAGTTGCCCATGAGGAAACTGGGGACAAACAAGAACTGCCATGATCCCATCCATACAGGGTCATTGTACATCCCCCCTTCCCTCCTGGGAAGTGGATGTACCCCATCCCTGGGCTGTTCCACCCTTCCATGCCTGCAAGAGGGACCAGAGATTGCCCATGTGCTCATACCACTCTCACACAAAAAGGTACGTACGTGGAGTTCGCGTTTTTTTCAGAGAAGACCCGCAGACAGAAATCCCCATTCTTGTTGGGTTCAAAGGTGGAGGGCACAACGATATATTCTCCTGCAGGGAGCTTGAACCGGTTCAGCACTTCCCGGAGGTTGATAAAAGTGTTTGATTTTTCTCTTGCTTTGTTGGTCAGGAAAAAGTTTTTGCTCAGATGAATATTCGTCTGGCCAGAAAACTTATGCAAAGCAAAGAAAGAGGAAAAACCCACAGTCTGCATGCACTTACATTCAGAAATTAAAAATATAATAGAAATATCAATTAGCTATGTATGGGAGGGGGGAGAAAAAAATTGTCAGCTCTACAGAACTGAAAGAGAAGAGAAAGGGGTGGGTGCACCCCACCACAGGACTCCTGAGATGTGGCCGCAAATGTATTTTGCAGATCATCACAATAAATCATTCAGGTCCTGCTTTTGTTTTGCAGATGATGAAGGGTGTCTGAAGCCATTTGCAAATTCTTCCACCAACTATTTCTCTTTAGAGTGATATGGCATAGGAGCCATGTCCCTCTGGTCCCTGGAGCTGGTGCCACCTGGAGACCACAGCTTGGATACGCCTCTGAGGTCAGGCTGCCTTAGGGCAGAGACCTCACTTATGGAGGGCTCCAAGAATAAAATAAAATAAAATATTTTGAGTGTAACACCTAGTGAAAGGTGTTCCTGCCCATGGCAGGAGCATTGGAAGTAGATGATCTTTAAGGTCCCTTTCAACCCAAACCATTCTGTGATTCTACGATTGTCCAGATAAAACTTTTTTGTGCAGGGTCTTACAGGTGGGCTATTTCAGCTCTAGGAAGTCCTTGATGATTCCAACATCAGGAATGTGCATGTTTCAGAATCCTCCTCCTTCCTGTCCTGCCAGGTTTTTAAGAATGCAAAACCTGTCAGACCTGCTGCTGTAGTGGGAGATAAAATTCCACCCTTTGGGCAAAGGAAAAGTCATGGGCACTGGTAGCTAGAATCTCTTTTTTTAAGGAAATGAGATTTTTCAACCACTAGGGTGAGAGCTGAGTGGCTGACAGTACTGCTAAAAGGTACATAAAAATTTAATTAACCGGTAGCACCATATTTTTCCCTGATGAAACCACATTTTACACAAAAGTAGCTGGTTTGAGCATAGTTTCAGGCACCACGGGGTACCCTAGTGGCTTTGCTTGCACCCTCACAGGTACAGCAAAACCAGTAATGGGGTCACCTCGGCATTTTGCTCAACTTCAGTCATTCTTCTGAGGAGCAACAGCTCAGAGGTACCTGCAGCCCTCCTCATATTGCATAGGCAGTGCTGCATTGCCACTCCTCTCTGACTCCCCAGGGTGTACTATTAGCTATCTGCAGGTAGAAACAGGGAGAAACTAATGAAGGTGGTGCTTGGGGAAATGAATATAAACACTTCCTTGGAATATTATTCATGTGTCAAACATGAACTCTGTGCAGAGCTGGGAAAAGCAGCTGTGCTCTGGGGGAGCAGATGTGGGTCTGGGCTGGGATAGGAGCGGTGGAAGAGCTGCTTTGATGAGTTTCTGCAGTACAGAGCACTCTTATCCCAATCCAAGACGCTCCAAAAACGCAACATGGGCTCAAGGCCCCTTTCAGAATAAATGGCCTCTAAGTTTAGACTCTGTGCAGTCGTGTTGTCCTGTGGACAGGAGGATCCTCCGAACCATTTCTTCCCACAAGCCCTTCAGCCTCAACTCCACCAATACATGCTACATACCTCTGGGGGCACCTGCAAGGAGAAAAGGAGAGAGTTATTTGCCTGTTGAATGGCAGCTCCAGGGCTACTTCTTTTCAGTTACTCAGCAGGTACATCCACACTTGAAAAAAGAAAAAAAAAGGCTTGAGGGGAAGGTGAATGCTGAGCCCACGCCACACAATGCTGAGTGCTGGCTCAGCTCCCAGCTCCATCCTGGAGGCAGGTGAGGCTCACCTGGGGCAGCGTGGGCACAGCCTGACACAGACAGGCTGGTCATGGCTTCCTGCTGACTCTCCTCCCTGCAGCCCACTGTGATGTTTTTTTTGTAGGCTCAATTTCTCTACTATTTCTTCCCACCTCTCCTTTCACCTTCCTGCCCCTCTGACCTCTCCACCATCAGGAGAGGAGGCAGTGACTGAGCAAGGAAATAACACAACTTTCTGTTTCTTTATGGCTTCAGGGGACTTAGCTTTGCTTTAAACCTTATTATCCTGTGGGGACCAGATCCTTTGATAAGCTTTTCAAAGCTGGGATACTGATAAAACAAGCAGTTGTACATATTGCCTGTGGTTACAGAGCAACTCACAGACAAGATCATCATTCCTATTTTCACTGCCACATAAGCACCACTGCTTTGCAGCTCTGTCCTGCTTCACGGGCTACCATAGACACATCTTTGACCCTTCACTCAGCAGGAGTTTTACAGGTGTTTTTGTTGGTTCTGCTGCTGGTTTCACACTTCCCAAGGTAGCGCAGATGTCCCAGCTAGGGTCACAACCCTACTACAGATGCTCCCATTCTGCTGCTTTCACCACAGCCTGACAAGTGAAAAGGAGACTGGATTTCTGCACTTCTTGTTTTTTAAACAGTTATTCTGCTCTTCCATTTAGAAGGTGGGAAGTGGCCTCTGTAGGTAATCTGGTCCAACCCCCTACTCAAAGCAAGGCTGATATCAAAGTTAATTATTTTGCTCAGGACCTTTTCCAGCCTAGGTCTGAATATCTCCAGAACCATAGATTCCATTGTCTCTCTGGGTACCTGTCCCTGTGCTTGACTGCTATTTTTATGGATGATAATTTTCTAAACATCTAAATGGAATTTGCCTTGCTGCAGCTGCTTACTCATCATCTGAGTTTTGATAGAAAGCCCAGTCTGAGAACTGCACTACCCTGTTTATAGGTGGAAGGAGCTTTCCTTTTCCTCCCATGCACCTGTACAGCCTTACTTGCCTCATAAATTGCAAAGCCAATGGTGTGCATGTCCTCTCCCATCTTCCTCTGCTTCCGCCGGTGCTTCTGAATCAGCCCAATGAGGAAAGTGCAGCCCCCCTCAGGATCATCAGGATCCTCATCTTCTTCCTCCAGCTTGATTAAATACTGTGGATTTGTCCAGAAAGTGTCTGGGAAGTGGATTTATGCAAACTGCTCAGAGGCTTCTTTGAAAGAACGGGTGTTGATGTGCATGTCAGCTAGGACAGACATGGCTCTGACTTCAAAAATCATGTGTGAGAAGGAAAACCTCCTCTTTTCCCCCCACCTTTACAACCACAACTTGACCCTCATCAGGGGGTCGCATCTCCCAAATCCCTGCACTTTTTGGACATTAGTCCAAGATATCTCGGGTACATTCTCCTCCTCCATAAGCCACCCCAGACCATCTCCCAGAAGCTCTCACAGAAGGTACAAGTGGACAAGTAAAACATTTCTCCAGTTTTTCTTACTTGGGTAATTCCTGCAACCCCCTGCAGTGGCTCCTCGCCTCCAGTTCCCATCCAGCTTCAGCAGGCTCCACTTCTTGTACCTGTCACTTGCCAGGGTGTCTGGAGTCAGGTTGCAGATCTCCAGGCGGGAGTAATGCCTCAAGAAGTCGTTGAACGCCATCCTGTGGGAGGTAATGCCACTGGCAGCGTCTCCTCAGGATGGACAGGTTTTCCATACAACCAACTTGCCTATCCTCCCTCTCACTTACTATGATTTAGCACTCGGATTTTGTACACTCATCTTGGAGAGCATACTTGGAGAGGTTACTTCGTGTGAAAAAAAGCTGGGCAGATGACATTCCCTTCTGCCAAAATGGAAACCTAGTGGTATTTACCAAAATTCCCCATCTTCATGTCTCCTGGTCAGCCGCTCCCGCACCTCAGGGTCAACGCCACTCCAGTTTGGGCAGCTGAAAGAGAACCCCATATCAGCTACAGCATATGGTACAGGTTAAACCCTAGTTTGGCTGTTCTGGCACAATGATTTCATTTTCCACAATTGCAATATTCCACGAGATAGCAGCTCCAGAACTCTCAAACCACTGCAGAATTAAAAATAGATGGACCCGGCCTATAAGATATCTCACTTCTCAAATATCCAAGGTAAGGATGAGAAGCAGAGCTCTATTTTCAGAAAGTGCTAATGCCCTGACTGAGGCAGAGCTTTGTATTAGAAAAAGAAAGTCTCAGAATAAAAACTGCCCAGCCACACAAGTGAGTAAACTCCAGTTTTCATTGCTAACAACAGAAACGGATTTTTAAAGCCCTTTTAGAAAGTAAGTTTTCAGAAGGTCACGACTGAATACAGGCTTTTAAATAAGCAGAAACTATAGTGAGGTTTCTAGGAATCACCAACCAAATCACTGCATCTTATGTAAAGGCAGGTGTTTGCATGAAAGGCACCACATATTGTGACACCCACAAGGGAGACAACAGTGATGGGATGCTTCTCTCTGAAACAGTTCAGAGTGAACATCACATCCAGGTGTGACTTACAGAGGAATTTGAGGTAGGGAAAAGACAGACAACAGCAGAAACATGACTGCACCCCTGCAGTAAAAGCCTACTGGCAGCATGTAAGCCATCGACTCACTTGTCGTTCCATTTCCCAGTCCACTCCACTTCCCCCCAGGGATTTCGGATTCTGATCAGCTTCTGCACTGTTCCTCGGAAGTTCACCTGATGTGATCAGAAGTATATGGAGAGTTACTCAGGGACACAGTACTGTGCTCCCTCCCACATCTTCTACAGTAATTAAAAAACATGACAGAGCAAGTATCTTGGTGTTCCGCATGACAAAGCATACACACAAACATGCACACATCTGGTCCAAAAGACACAAGTCAAACTGATTCTGAATATGCTTCATGCACCCAAGCTTGTCCAGAGAAGTTTTATAACATGCACAAACCAAAGCTCATGATAAGAAAAAATGTCTGGTTTGTGCCACTAAAAATTATCTCTGATAAGATCTCAAGCAAAGGGAATGTAAAACTGCTAGAGGACTGCCAAAAAGCAGGTACAAAGAGATATTTCTCTAAGTCATCATTTATGTATAAACTGCCTTTTTACATTCAAATGCCTTTTTCTCCCCTCCTTATATATTAGATGAGCCCGTTACAAGAGATGGGATACTCAGACTGGCCACAACCCCTCTGACCGCACTAATGCCCTGCAGTGCAGCAGCATTGGCCCCTCCTCACACTGTGCCAAGGCTGTGGCTTGTCATCTGCTGCCTCTGCACACACTGAGGCCAGGCCAAGCACAGCTGTTCAAATTTCAGTGGAAACACCCACTCTTTCCGGGGAACACACAGTACTCATGTGAGGAAGGAGCTGGTGCACCTCTAGAGCCTGAAGCCAAGAAAACTGCAGAGCAGTAGCAATGCAGAGTCCAGAGATGACAGACACCCCAAGACGAACTATCCTTACAAAGTCCATACAGATCTTCGATGGAAAAGCCTGGCTAAGTCATGCCTGCTTGCGGATTGAGGACAACAAACTCCCTCTTTACTGCTTTTGCTGTGAGAAGAGGACCAAATGAACACCCACAAACCTGCCTGTTAGCAGTGTCCACCTCAGCACAGCATGTCAGAAGCTCTCTACATCTCACTCAAGTTTCAGAAATTATTTCAGAACCAATTATTGGTGAAGTAACCCCAAAAACTCCCTAGACATGTATAAGGACACCACGATCTCTTCCTTTGTTTTCACTTGTCTTACCCTCAGCAATCACCCACTCTTCAGTAGGCACCTTGCATTCAAATAACATGTCCTGCTGAAAAGCAGTTTGGCAGGCACTTAAAAGACAATAATAGATATTTTGCTTGCTTGGTGCACATCTCTCATCTTGTGCATTTAAGTTACAGTGCTGCCTATTACAGAACAGAACCGAGTTGAAGGGCCTGGTCACCAGCAGAGGGTAGTGTGCCCTCTGCAGAGAGCTGCCCACTGCCCTGCTCACTGGGAAAAAGCAATGTTTATGGAAAAATAGGGGTTTTTTCAGTCAGACCACCAAGAAGACAAATTTCTGTTTGTCCAAAACACACCAACTCATTCAGCATTCCTTCAGAAAGAGGAGACTCAAAACCCGATTCAGTAAAATGGGTGACACTCAAGAATTTGCAGTGTTGAAGATGGATATGTGGCTGTCACACACAAAACCCCTTTGGGGTGGCACACCTACCTCCTCTGCCCCGGTGACCGAGTACGCGTGTCCCTTCACCAGCTTCTGGGAAGTGACTGCCTCTGTCTCTGCCGCACTGGTGATCTGGAGGAGCAAAGAACATCGGTGAACGTGGCTTCCCATATGCAGGGGATCCAGCAAAGGAAAACTTCCCCCTCCAATGGAGCTTTAATCTCACTGGCAGGCTGTAGGGGTGGTTTAGCTGCTGCACAGAGGCAACAAGAGTGGGGAGAGGGAACAGGAGCACGGGTGGTGGTGCTGGAGCTCCAGACGCCATGTTCATGGCAAAGGGTGCACACCAGAAGCTCTGCACCACAGGGGAGCTCCCTCTTGGCTCCAAAACACTTGGTGTGGTGCATCCCCTCTTGTGCATTTCCAGTGGGGATACACACAATAAACTCCATGTTCTCAAAGTAATGGGCAAGAAAACAGGGAGTGACTGGCCTGAGGCTATCTAGGCATCGCCAGGGATCACCCCAGGTCCAGCAAGCCCCAGTGCTTTCCTTCAGGGTTAAAACACTCCCTTCAGCTCCACAGCAGGGTGGGAGGTTGTCTGTTTTCCCTAGCACTGCCACCCTGGAACCTGCCATGCAGGGCAGCAAGGCTGAATTTTAGATGCCATTGGAAGCTGAAGGCACATCACCCTCTCACTTTTTCATAGCCATTAGAATACTTGGGCTGTCTGGTCTTTAAACACTGCAGAGAAAAGTCACTTCTTGCTAGACAGCGAATGTTTAACCACCTATGAAACACATGGCTATCACTGTCTTCCCACCATTTCAGAAAGTGTGTGATCTCTAAACAAGCATATTGGAACCTTAAGAAAAGAGAGAGGATGGGATTGAGCAGGCAGGATTCCTACTGTCAATTCACGCCCTATTACTGCCCTGCAATACATTCTCCATGTAATGCTTAATCTCTGTGTCCCTATTTCTCTCACAGATGATTTTACAAGATTTTTTCCAAAGCCTAAACTCAGTAACAAAAAATTTACACTACAGAAATTGCCAGTACTTATCAGCAACACAATATATTTACTCTCCTCCACCTTCAACAAGACATTTGTACTGTGGGACAAAAATCCAGATGTCAGATTCTTATCTAAATGCAAACAAGTAAAACAGGCCTCGAAAGTACCATGAAGTCAAACACTGATATTAACCAAGTACTTTTCCTGCTGTGAAGCTTCCCTCTCCTGGGACTCTGATTTAACTTGAAAAATGGGAGGAAACATTTACATTTATATTATGAATGGAGTTCTTGTAAACAATTTACCTTTCCTTTAGACATAACTAAGATGCAATCTCATTTGGGAGGAGGGTGATTAACACAATAACAATACCTAGATTCATTTCAGTAAGGCTAAAAGCGATGCTGAATCCTTGCAGGCAGGGCCAAAGCTCCTCTTTTCCTTCTCATGCATGTCCAGTTTTTGACAACGTGTTTTCTCATAAATCCTTTTAAAGACCTGGCAACAGTCTGAGCCTCTCTGCTTCAGATTTTCTGGGAACATTCAGATCTGTCCAGATTTTTTGGGAACATATTAGGTGCAACTTGTGTGTCAAAAAGGCTGCAGCAAGGGTGGAGGTTGCATTTGAGAATCTGCAGGAGCCATTAGCAGCAGCTTTCTGTCCAAATCTACTCACCCCGTACCATCCTGCTGCCAAGCTACCGGCTTTCTTAGGAACAAAGATGTACCTCAGGACCCCTAATGAGTTCCCTGTATGATTCATTCCCATGAACTTACAAAACAGCAAAAGCTCTAAGTCTCAAGGAAGAAACAAAGGGTTTTTACTAATAAAGTCTATGTTTCAATCTAACCCCCACGAAAGCATGTGCCTGAGTCACGTTTGTGGGTCAAACTCTCTAGGCACAAGTAGAGCAGAGAACCACAGTAGAGGGGAGCTGCATCCTGTGTGCAGTTCCTGTGGATGGTCCACCCCCCAGCTGCCTGTGTGCACAGCAAGAGCTGAGTGCCCAGCAATAAGCCTGCTAACTCACATCAATGGAGCAGCCAAGGAGAGAGCCTTTCTGAAGGGCCTTCTGAATGATTTTGAAGAGGTTGGGAGGTGCCGTCCGCAGCTCATACCATTCTGCAATTCCACCGGTGAAGTCCTCGAAACCTTCGGTGGTGGTGCCACCAGAAAGAGCCTCATACGATCCATTCAGCCTGCACAAAACGAGGAACACACAACCATCATGCTGCTTGCCTTCCTCTTCTCACACACAGAGCCATCAGGTTTCCCTGTTCTCCTCTTCAGTGGATGCACTCAATGTGCCAACTGTGACGGCATTTCTGCTTTCAACAGCACTACAGCAGCTATGAATTACGAATGCGCCCTCCGTTCAGCTTTGCATCTTGTATTTGGAAAGCCCAGCATAAAATCTTATACAATCATGGATACAGGTTGCAGGTTCAGTCATATCAATGACAAAATTCATGAACGCCATTTGAAAAAAAAAATAAAAATAAAAAAAAAGAATCAAGACCCAGCATTTTGCCTCTCGAGTTCCACAGTCTTTGTATCCCCTTAACAATTATGGGTCTGATTCTCAGCTGATCTAAATTTCTTAAGTAAATTCAAAATTGTAATGTCAGAGGGAAGAATTCCTCTCTGCCCAACCCAAAAACTGAGATTCAGATATGAGCGTCTTTGCCTCTAACACGGACCTGAGCATGCGGACTGATGCGCTTTGCACACTGAAGCGCTGCAGCTGCAAGCTCTTACAGGTGCATAGCACACAAGAAACGGAGTTTCCCAAGCCCTGGTGACAGGGGACCACTTTAGGAACAGCCTCACGACGAGATGCAAGAGCTGCTTTTTTTGGCTAGCAATATAGCCAATACTTTGGCTACTTGTCTTAGGCACCTATCAACAAAGCTTCATTAAAGCAGCCATTGTGGGATACCCCAGAAGCTGTAAAGGCTAATAATTAGGCTAACACTTTAAATGCATAGTATTCATACAATTGAGGATGCTATGGGGAAGCAGCAATTTGAGTGGGGTGAAAGCCTGGCCTCGACTCACTTGGCATAGGCCTTCTCCAGCAGAGCGCTCCAGAACTCGCTGCCCTCCGCCGAGTGCACGAAGAGCAGCTCCCCGTTCTTGGTGGGCAGCCTGTCGTCCACCACCACATCCACCCACTCCCCGTACTGCCAGAACTGAAAAGAGAGTACAGACACCTTGTCACCACACAGTGATCACACTGTGCACTCCGGTCACCAGGAGCTTTATCTGCTAGCGCCAATTTCCTAGAGGAAAAGCAATCTCCCTTCATCCACCCTGTTTTGGGGATGCATGTACCCAGCTGGCTCTGCTGATGGAGGGAGGACCACAAAGGCTGCGTCTGCTCCCAGCTCTTTGGTTAATGGTCTTGTTCCTTCCATCACCATCACCCTCCTTAGCTGTCTCCCTTTTTCTGTTTGGCCCTTTGACATCCCACAAAACCATTCTAGGAAACCCCCCCCACAGAGACACAGTCAGTCACCAGCTCCTGGCCAACAGTATTGGGGGAAGAAGGTTGTTTTCCACACACCTGGAAATGGAAAATTCCTGCATATTTATCCTGGAAGCTTTGGTCTTTGGGAACAACACGGGCCAAAATTTCTTCATTTAGGGTGAGAGAAGCAATGGCAGCCAAGAGCCAACAGTCCCCTGTAAAAAAAAAGAAAAGAAAAAAAATAAGAATTAAGTTCAATATTCAAACTTTATTCTTTAGTTTTTGTACTGCATAGGGATTGTGTATTATAACCAATAAGCCCCTCAGCTGGGATATGATGATCCCTCCCATCACCTTACCTCTAAGATAGATCAAATATATGAACACAAACACCCTCCAGTTGCAAGCGTTTCCTCAAGACCAAAGTCATTAAAAAAAAAAACAAAACAAAGCAGGCTTTTTCTGATCTACCACCACAGTTATCACCCACTCTAGGATTATTTGAAAGAAAACTTAATATTCAACTGAGTGCTTACATATTAGGAAGCAGCATGGGGAAAAGGCAAAGAGCCTGTGGTCACATGCAGGTATTAGGGGTGCAGTTTCTCCTCAAAAGGACAGTGTTTTCTCAAGCATAGGCTACATTCCTTTCTCTCCTCCATGTTTAATAAATGTCTGTTGCTTTGCCATCCAGAGACCTGTCCTCCAGACAAGCTCCCTTTAAGGTCTCTTGCCAGCCTCCCTCCAAACAGGAGCTCCTTTCACCTTAGACATCCCCAGAGGTTCTTGCTTGAGGCCTCTCTGTCTAGTCCCACATTTCATCTCTGGCTCTAGTCACCAGAGAGACAGGAAAGGCCTGAAGGCAGGCACTGTTTCCCAGTCCCACACACCTCTTCACCCTGCCTGGGATGGAGCCAACATACACCGAGCCTGCACACCACAGCTCCAGGGCACAGGCTGCCTGGACAGTGTTTTTCCACACCATCTCCTGCCACGCAGAGAGAGGAAGAGACCACAGCTCTATAAACATTACACCTCTACTTTCTGTAATTATTTTCAGAACCCAGTGTTACTTTAACAGGGCAGTTACCTTTCTGCTCAGCCACGGGCTTCCTGCAGCCCGTTAGCAAGGCAGAGATTTACAGACCCAGATGATCCCCTGACTGCCATAGCCCAACACAAACCCCCTTGTTAGCATTACCAGATCCACTGTTCCTTTGCTTTGTGAACAGAGTGTAGCTGGTATTACACATCAGACCCCACAGAATGATACTGGAGGATTACAGGTTGAAGAAGCATGAACCAGCTGCAGCTGCCAGCAAGCCAGAGGCCAGCAAAGCAGAAGTCCCTATACAGTCTTCTCTCTCCCATAGGAAAAGGCTCAAAGCTTACAGGTGAGAACTTGGGATCCAAATGGGAGAAAGTCTCAGGGCAAGTTAACTCTAAAGCAGCCCTCAAGGTCCACCCTCAGGCCCAAATCCATCACTGCTCAGACAGGCAACAGGAACACAGGCAACCTGCAGCTTCCTCCAGGCTGCCCCTTGCTTTTCATAGCTGACCCCCAGCAGCAGCCACATGAATGACATCTGTCCCATGGCCCTTTTCACAGTTCATGAAAGGGGGAAGATATGAAATTGCAGAACAATTTCAAAACCCATGGTGCTTTTACTGTTTCATTACCTAGACGGGAAGAACTGAACATAAAACTTTCCCTTCAGCCTTGCCTCTGGCTGCTTGTACTGCAATGGAAAAATCATTGTGTCAGAGTTTTCAAACAGGAAAGTCACCTCGCTATTCCGCTGTGACAGGTTATGAAGTAACAAGGATGTCCCTCCTCTGTAACAGCACATTCATGTCACCCCACAAAATGGGAACTCCTCTTACAGCCTCCTTCAAGGTGCTGAGACCCTCTTCTCTGGGAACTGTGCATCCTCTGGTGCTGTACTGCATCCACAGGTATTGCCACACACCGCAAAGGTGCTTGCCAGGAAAGAGACTGGGGTCAGAAGATATTAAAGGCATTTTGAGATGGGCTAATCTACAATTATGGATCCTCTCTCCTCCAGTCATGCCAGGGATTTAGCAGCTACCCTTCACAGCAGTTCTCATAGAGTATCTTAAGTTGGAAGGAACCCATAAAGCATGAGACAAGTCACAAATAGACAAACTGATAGTTTGACCTGTCTCAGCACAGAGGCCAAATATAACTGATAACCCAGAGAGGTGCCTATCCGAGCATCTCAACAACCCCAGCATGCACCCCATGCTCTACAAGGCTTTTATAGACAGCTTCATGCAACTCAGAGGTAAAGTAAGTCTTGGGCATCTCAGACCTATGCTCTAAGAGAACCCCAGAGTATTTGACATTGGTGTTACTAACCTCATAAAAACCATGTTGATTTAAATTAGTAGCAAGTCTGGCTCAGAGGGCAGCTGTCCCACTATTCTTCCCAAGAAATATTAGCATTTCTATTCCATACACAAGGCAGGGACTGGGCAGGCAGAGAGCAGCACAGAAAGAATAAATGAACAATTCAACATGACCACAGTATCTCAGGAAGCCTTGGTCAAGAAGCTGATCAGGCATCTAGATTAAGAGCATACACCCTTCAGTAATATAACATATCTTTGAGTCATATTTCCCCTGTAGGTAAGAAGTATGGGAATTCAAGGAGAAACTCCCCCCAGAGGACCTCTATGCCAATAAGCAGAGTCTATAAAGAATTTCCTTTACTTTCTGGCTGTTTCACCAAGGCAGACTGAAATAGCAGACTCTTGTAAAATCTCTTGGTTGAGAGTCTGACAAACACAGATCTTAACTTGGACAACTCTGGGCAAGATCTTCTTGAGCTTTAAAGGCAGATGCAGCATATATGGGAGACACCTCATCCTTTGGTTTTCACATTTAAAAGTGCTCAACAGCCAAGATATCATCTCTTCCTTTCTGAACAGCCATCACAAAAAGTAAACTTGATAATTCGAAGCCTGGATGAGAATAGATCTGGAAGTTTAGCCTGCACTAACTAAGAATGAGCAGGGTCTTTACCAAATAGTCTAAACTATCAGAACTTGTACTTCTGTAAGGTTTTGGCAGTGACTTTCCTTTGATAGAGAAGGAAAATTAAGAAGAGGCTAACAGACAGGTTACTTATAAAAAGACTTTGAAAGCAGTGTTAGCAAGGCTACGTTAATCATAGAGAATTTTTGTAAATGAACAATAGGTAGAAAAAGAAGAGAGAATAAAAAACTCACAGGTTGTGAGTTTATTTGTAGTGTATTTATATGGACAAGAAGTACTATTTTTTTCCTGTCCTGCTTCCTTTTTGTAATTTTCAATGTTTTACTTCTTATTTCTATACCCTTATCTCTGCATTTACCTAATCTCCAGCTACAACTAGAATGTTAGGAAAAAAAAAAAGTAACTGCAAGGAACACATAAATAGCCTTAAGGGCTTAAAATTGGTCATTCCGGAAAGAAAAGCCAGGCAAAACACACCCAGGAAGTGCCTGAAGGGCTGTAAGCAAAAGGCAGCTCCTCTGGTCTCTGCAGAGCCCATGTAAAAATATGGGGTCAAAAAAAAAAGTACATTCTAATGTATATTCTGCCAATCACAGACTAGTCACTATTAAAACATTCATAGCTATAGATTAACAGCTACTGAATGTATTTATATTAATACCACACGAATCCAGGAAGCTTTCTGATTAAAAACATGAGGTTGTGGCAACCCACTGACAGTGGAGTGGTTTTCAGCATGAGAAAACCATGGATCTAATTTCCTAAATTCGTCCTATTCAATTAGTTATTTTTTCACACATTTTTATGTAAGGAGGAGACATCTGCATCCAAGCAGCAGATGAGAGACACTGTGCTGTTTACACTCCAGTGTTGTGATACCATGGTGACACTCCCTCCAAAAAAGGCGGTTAAGGGTGAACAAGGTTTCTCTGGCTTTGGAACCTCCCCTCTGCTGTAATGAGTCACCACATCCCATGTGCTGTCATTTGGAGCCAAAAAACATCACTGACTTCAGATCTGATACTGCAAAACTAACTCCAAATACTTGCCTTTAAAAGTTTCACCTAAAAAGAAACAAACAAGTAAACAACAAACCAACCAAACCCCCAAACCTTTTCTGCACTGATGATCAGCTATGCCTTATATGCACCGCAGTATCATATAGCCCAGGTCAAAAACAATGAAACAAATTTATGCACCTGGCCCATAGACCAAAGATTCCTGGGCTAAAAGCAATCTCTGCTCATTAGCTGAGCTGTTTGGTTACACATCCCCTGCCAAGAAGCCTGTAGCAGCACTGATGGGTACATGTGTTTTGGATGCCTCATCTGTCCCTGCAGTACTCCCAGATGTTCTGAAGGGCTTAGCAACAGCAGTGAAGCTCCACATGGGTACAAGCCTGTTGCTTTGTGATCAAGCCTTTTGGGAGATAAATAAGGCTACAAAAGCTTCCCATGGAAAAAACCCCAGCATAATGAAAAGTACAGGTTTTCCAAAGCACCTGACATCTTCCAGTGCAATCTTCTCTGTAACATCCTAAAATGCCAGGGGACATCAATGTCAGCGCACAAAATTCAAGTAAATGCAGGCTTTACATTGTATTGATATAAATGCTGGTGTCAGATGAGGCAGTGACAAAAATAATAATAAAAAAAAACATTTGCACAGTACATCTGCTATCCTCACTGTGTAAAAAGCAGAGATTCCATACAGGCTCTTAGTAACTCAATGGCAATACAGAGATAAGATCAATAGCATCTAATTTTTAATCAACCACAGGACTGTCACACAATACCAAAATCCTGTCCAGATTCACGAAAAGATAGTGGGGAGAGTCATCACAGTACTTAGTCATGGTGAAAACATTAAGACAAACAAGAGCACTAACAACGTCCAACTGAAATATAGTCTGAGGAGGTAAAATAATACCAGCTGTGAGTTCACATCCTTTGGTGATACCATACAACCTCATGGGAACATCTGACTGGTCCAAAGACCATTAAGGCAAAAAATGCTTTTATCAGTCTAAAACAGGGTTTGGCATTCACAACTTGAAAATGAAGTTACAAATCTTTCATTCCCATGCTCTTGCTGTCACAGCATTTTGATAGAAAAGTTGGAAGCCTGCAGACAGCAGGAAGCAACTAAGTGCCTTCAGAAACTAGCATCTCTACAAAATGCCAGATGTTGAAATGGCATTACAATAAACTGTCATTTCTAGTTGAAGAACTCCATAGCTGCAAAGTTTCACAATAAAAAGAGAAGACAGATGTCTGGCACGTGTGTTAAGCACTGGGACATTCTTTATGCCAAAACAGTCATGGTGGGAGACATGATATTGGGTGGAGAGGGCATGGAAAGGAAGCTGGTGACATGACAACAAATCATGACACAACAGAGCCTAACCCATGCCACAGACGGTATTGAGGCACAAGGAGAATTAAGTAAATAATCTAAGTATTTTTATTGTCAGGGCTTTTTACACAAATTGTACCTAGTTGTCAAAGCACTAACCTAAAAACTTCTGAATGAAAACAGAAGCACAAAATATAAGCTTCCCTGTCTGTTGTATTTTTGGACATGAAAACACAAATAGCAGCAGGACTAGAAACTAAGAAGCCACGATGTGGCTAATATGCTGTTTGAAAGCAAACAAACAGAACACACAGCACGTATTAGTCATGTTTCCCTACACCAAGAGCTTTCCCTCAACTGTGCTGTCTAATCCAAAACCCTCTCACTACCGCTATAATAGGAATAAGTAGGAGCCTACTGCTTTCACTTCACTTTATTTCTTCTCATGTTTATACAGATGTCCTTCTTGCCAGCCTCCACATTGCCTTCTGGGTGGACAGCCACAGTGGCACTCACCTAAAACCCCCTCTGGCAGGCAAGGCAGGAGAGAGGCTTCCAGACCGGGATACCTGTGCACAAATAGCCAGGCTAAGCCACTCACTCCCAGCTGTCCCCTGGGGCTTCCCTGCAGCTCCCAGGGCTCCTCCAAAAGAGCCCGACTGAGGCTGCCATTGCACAAACTGAGCAGAAGACATGGCAAAATCTTCAGCTCACAGGCTGGCCCATCCCTCCTGAAACACCCTGGTTTTGTTTTCCTTGAGAGCTGATGACCAGCGGGGAATCCCCTACACAACTTGTTTTCTCTGTACTGCATCTTTCCAGATTTCGGAGGGTCCCCCCTGCTCAGCAGCACTCTGTTCCACTGCGGAAAGAAACGCCCCACTACAGATGCAACTGCTCTTCTAAGCAGATTGTTCAAGGCAGAAATTAGTCAGTCTCCTTTCAGGCATGGATGTGATCATGAAAGGAACTGGTCATGATCAGAAAAGCCATCAGGAAAACTGTCTGTGTCATCCCTGCTTGGTGCATGCAGAAATGCTGTGCTCAGTGGCCAAACACACATGGTCCCTATCTGCAAATGCCAAGGAAAGGCAAGAAGGGTCTGAGTTGATGTGCAGAGAGGTGGTAGGATGCAAAAGGACATGTACAGCCTAGTATAAACCACGGTGTCCTGGGGCAGGACCTGCATGGAAAACTCAGCTTTCTGGCTCCACCTTACCTAAGGCCCCTTGGCAGATGTCAGTGCGGGTGGCTCCACCTGCTATGAACTGGGGGCTGGAACACAGCTCCTGGGAACAAAACAAGCCTTGTGTTACATATAGCCACAAGGCCCCACCTGCAGCAAATTAAACAAGCCACTGACCACAGCAGACGAACACCACAGAGATGGAGCAGGTCAGGAATGAGAGTGTGGGCACCAGACACACCAAGCACAGTGAGAACGGGAGCTGGTGACCAAAGCTTGTGGACAGCCATCTCACTTCACAGTATGTGCCAGGGGGTCCACTGCATTTTCACACATGTGCACACACCACTCTGCTATTACCTCCCAGCCACTGACTAGGTCAAAGTCTTTCAGCAGCACCTAGGCACCTCGGAGTCCACCTGACCCCACGGCTCCCGTGGCTGGCAGGGCTGCTTCGGTAGGAAACCACACGGTGGTCAGCTCAACGCTCTGCTGCTAAGGGAAAGAGATAACCCGGAGCGACAGCCCCGAACGCTGCCCAAGGCAAGCGGTTTGTCCACACGGAGAGTTCAGGATGGAGAGGATAAAGGCTTTTCTGCTTTGTTTGTTTTCCAGACAGAACACGTCACCCTGCCAGCCTGTACCCGCGTCAAAGGGAAGCCTCCGGTGCTCTAAGCATCCGCAGCTTCACAATCCCGGGATTCTGCAGCCCGGGGAGGCTGCGGGAGCGGGTCTGAGCCCGGGACTGCCCGCGCAGCGCTCGGCAGCCGCGCCCCGACCGGCTGCCCCCGCACAATTAAATCAAACCAAATTTGGGGTGGGGGGTGGGGGAAAGTCGGACGACACGGCGGTGCCGCGGAATGATGCTCCCGGGATCCCCCCACCCTCCGCCGCCCTACCGTGGGTCTGCGCCAGACGACGCCCTGCGTCTTGGCGGAGCGGGGTCCCAGCTCTCGGTAGCCGAGGGCGGTGGGGCCGGCGGGGAAGGAGGGGTCCTGGAAGAGCCGCCCCTCCTCCAGGCACTCCCGGCGCAGCGCCCCGAAGTGCTGCCCCAGGTAGGGCACGGCGTGGCCGTGCCGCCCCGCGCCCGCCGCCGCCGCCCGCTCCTTCGCCACGGCCTCCGCCATCCCCGCCATCGCCACACCACTGCCGCCGCCACCGCCCCGCCCCGGCACGGCACGGCACAGCCCGGCCCCGCCCGTGCCGCTCTGTCATCCCCCCACCTCCAGCGGGGGCCACGCGACTGCTCACGGCATCCCCCGCTTTGCTCCAGTCCCTCCACACCAGAAGTCACTGACGAAGAAACTTCCCCTCCCGCTCTCCGCCTCCGTGGTGCCACAGAGAACATCCCTGCCACGCAGCTGGGCGCCTCATCAGCTCCACACCTGCGCCAGCCCTGGCTCCCGTATCGCCACACGTACTCATCCATTTAAAAACACTGATATTTCCTGTGTAAAAACCAGAGCTAGCCCTCTCCAAATCTGTGCGTTTAGGAAAAAAAGACGAAGAGGAAAAGCTATATGACTATGGTACATATGTACCCGGTATTGTCACCCTATTAAACCTTGAATACTGCACACAATAGTGATCACTTACAGCTTGGTTTGCTGGTGGTAACCAAAGCACGTGTTGCCGTCACTGCCGGCATGGAACAATCTACACCCCCTGCACAGCCTGAACCGCACACAACGAGTTCCCCCCCAACACGCACCCCCGCCATACACTGCAGGGAAAAGGAGTGTCTCCCTTTTGGCAGCGAGCTGCTGCCAAGAATGGCTAAAATGCTGCTGCTGGCACCCGCATAGTACAGCAGCCCTCCAAGGGAGATTTCAAACCATTTGTTTCATATTTTAGATCTGACTCAGGACGTGCTGGGCACCAGGCAGCGGTCCCGGGCAGCATGCAGAGGCTGAGAGCCCTTTGTGCTGCACCCACTGCCCATGCTGGCTGCCCAGCTGCCTTGGGAGGACAGGCACCTCTTTTTGCACATTGTATCCCAAGCACTGGATGCACAAAACAGTCGTTTGGATCCATCCTATCTAGAAAAAAAGAACATTACTGTTTCAAAAATGCTCAAAGAACCATAAATTACCCAGCTGTACCATTTGATGAGATGTGGCGGGACATTTTTCCTTGAAGATTTAAATCAGAAGTTTTTCTTCATTGCTGATACACAGTGCTCCAATGCACTGTGAAACACTGTCTGTTTGCTTGGTAGTTTTGGACTTCAATCACTTATGATTCCTCTTCCTAGACTCCTACTAGCACAATTCATGGGAAGCCATTGCCATTAAACAAGAAAAAAAGCTAAGCATTGTTCATTCAGTTCCTAGTGTAGCAGAGGAGGTCCCTAAAATCTTTTTGAAGTTAGATATGAGTGGTGAGAGCTGCAGCAGCCAGCTATGTCTCTGTAGATCATGGCCATGCAAGGAAGCAGCCCTGATATCATCTGTTTGTCCAAAACTAGCCAGGCACAGACAAACTGCTGTGCTTTGAAGGTGTCTCCTCTTCCTCATGGTCAGAAGGGCGCTCTGAATAAAGAGGATAATGGTATTTTTGGCAGCATATTGAGGCACTTGGCAAATCAATAACACATGGAGAACTGGAAGCAGATCAATTAATGTTATGTGCTGTAAGTGCTCTCTGAGTGGAGCTGGGACATGCTGTGTGCACCCAATTACTGGTACATCATTAGCCAGGGTCTCCAGCATGGCTGTGCTGAAGCTCAACCAGGACACAGTATGACGCTGGAGGATGGTTTCGCTCAACTGTTTAGATTTATTAGGCACTGCTGAATTATCTTACAGGTAAGGCTTTCTACTGAGCCAGGAGACTGGAAGATAACAGCACCTCACTATGCAGGAGTGTAACTCACAATGAATGTTGTATCCCAACATCCCAGACAGATCTGGGAGCTGCAGAGCTGCTCAAACAGTGTTTATTTGGCTCCACGCAGTGGTTCAATTCTGTACAGCTGCCACAGGTCAGACTTCTCTGGTTTTTCAAGAGTCAGGGTAAAAGAAAAACAGTGTCAGTTCAAAGCAATGACCCACAAAAACAGTTTTGGTTTGTGAACTCCTCTACTGTAGCCATTTTCCAGCAGATGCAGAAGTTTAAGCTGGGTTGGAGTTTGTAATGTAATTATTTTGCTTTTCTTAGTCATCTCCCCTGCATCCCACAGATGATACTCACAGACCACTCTGGGGTCTGCTGGCTCCATGTCAACAGCCTCTGCTTGGACAACAGTCAAGAAGATAAGTGTGTACAAACATGTTATGTGGTTGCTCTGTTCAGTCAGAGTTACCAGAGTTTTCTTAGAGTCTCTGTGGTGCAATGGGACTTGAGACTGAGCCAAACAGAAAAGGGGATGAACAGATGACAGCAAAGACAGAAAGAAATTGAACCAGCAAGGATTCAATTAGGCAATGGGAGAGGAACCTGGGGCAATGCAGGGAAGAGGTATATTTGACATCATGGCTTGTTAGACTGGTCCCAAACATATAGGGATGGTAGTGTCCCCAGTGGTTTAATGACGGATAAGGATATGTTGGTGTAATACAGAAATTCTCTTACTATATGGGAAGTTGGTCGTCCCAGCAGCCACCTGAACAGCCTACCCACAAAGACCTCTGCAGTTAAATCAACAAGTCACCTACTTCCAGCCCAGGAGCAGATGTGGATGACTCCACAGTTAGAGGGAGGGAAGTTCTTTTGAGGACTACAGGAGCCAGTTCCTTGATCTTCTACATACTCACACAATATGCCCATTTTCTTTAAAGAAAGGGGTGATTTCCATTTGACTGTGAGACTAGTGTAATGCTCTGAGGCAAAATAGCGGTGCCAAGACTAGTTACCCGCTCCTGTCTCCCTAAAACCAGGCAACTTCAGAAGGAAAAAGAAATCTGACTTTTTCTTAATCTCCCTGCACACCTGCAGCTCTTCAAAGGAGTCACCAACTCTCACATTTCACGAGTAAAGTGGTTTCAGCTGTTACTGCTGCAGCTCATGCTGGTGCCTGATAAGAAGCATCCAGTTGCCACTTGCAGCATGGATTTCCAGGCAGGATGGGTTTCTGCTTCCCTGTATGTCTACACTCAGCAGTTGTGAGTAGCTCAGAGCTGCTATGCCTTACAATATCCATCCTCTCTCCTGCTCGTTTGCCCTCCACTATACTCAGATATTGGGGAACAATGGGGAGCAACTTGCCAACAGCTCAGGAAGGAAGAAATGGGACCATGTACCTGCAGGGGTTCCGTTCTTGTTTGCAGGAACTGCCCTCTCCTCACTAGGATGAGGATGATTTCCCAGGCTTGCAGTAGCGGTGATGATGTTTCACAAGGCAATTGCTTTCCTGTCTGGATCTGGGATCTGGAGAGGTATTGATCTTTCCTCAACATCACAAGACTGGCTGCAGCCCCAGCCAACACAGTGTGAGGTGCCAAAAAGACCTGGATCATCCTGAAAAGTGCATCTGTCCTTTCCAGCTCCTTACAGTGCTGAACCATCACTCCTGGATCAGCTCAGCTGTGCTGTGGAGCTTCACACCTGGCATGCAGGCATTACCACTGTAGTATGTCATGTTCCTCCTCTTCAGGCACCAACAATTTTCTGGCATTTATAAAACAGTCAGGCAGGATCACAGCTAATTTCAATGTGTTTCCCTATAGGGAACCCACTAGGCTTCAGCTTGTAGCAAGCCTTCTCTCCCCTCCCCAAACACTTAGGTAAAATATTGCAACCTCTAAAACAATAACCTTATAGACAACATTTAGGACCTTTCATAGCTCCCACTAGTTTGACTATTAATAGTCACTCCATTTTCGCAGTAATAGGGTGGGTAGGAGCCCATACATCCAGAATAGGAGAAGCCAAGCTCTCTAAATTGAACTAATCCATTTTCATGCTGCAGGGTCTACAATACAGCTAAGCAGCTTTAATCCTCATTAGTAAAGTGCTACGGTACAGGAGAGCCATTTCAGTTCTCTCTAATGCATTATATCAGAAATGTATCTAGAACTGCTAGGTAATTGGCAGTTATTTTCTTCTAAAAATTTCCACTTTCCTCTATAAAGATACAGAACAGTCTTGACTGCATCGAATGTGCAGACTTTTCTTTGAAACCTAGATGATGCATTTTCCTGGTTTATTTTGTTCTTCCCTATTTTTCTCACCCTCTTGCTATTGTCGAGAAAGGGGGAGAGGGGAAGGAAAGAGGAAGAGCCAGGCAAAAATATTCTGCAAGTCCCAGAAGCAAGAAAAATCAGGTTAATTGTTAAACCTATTTTTTTTTCTGGTTCATGTTTCCCTAGGGATTAATGTCACTTCATCAGCAGTTTTGGAGAGTCATGGGGAACCTGAAAGCTTTTCCCTCTATACTATATCTACAGCTGTTGCTGTAGTCAACTATACAGTCTAATCTTTTCCTCTTTTTTATATCCTCTAGATGGTGCTTATGTATCACTTTCTACACAAAACAACTCATGCTGCTGTTAATCAAGCTTGGAAAATGGATTTGAACTGTTGTACTACAGATCACTAGGAGCAGAGGGTCGTGGTGGACACAATGGGTGGTTATCTGGTCCAATACTCCCCAGAGAAAATGGTTGTCCTCAGCCGCTTTCCAAATGTGAGGTACAGGACAGAAAAATTTCTATGGCACATGTACTGAAATTTATGATTAAAATCTGATTGTATTTCAAAGAATCATAGAATAGTTTGGATTGGAAGGAACCTTAAATGTCATCTTGTTCCAGCTTGGGGGCTGTGGGCAGGGACATGTTTCACTAGACCAGGTTGCTCAAAGGCTGATTCGACCTGGCCTTGAACACTGTCAGGGATGGGGCATCCACAGCTTCTCTGGGCAACCTGTTCCAGTGCCTCACCACCCTCACAGTCAAGAATTTCTAACTAATATTTAATCTTAACCTCCTCTCTGTCACTTTAAAGCCATTCCCCCTTGTTCTATCACTACATGCACTTGTAAAAGGTCACTCTCCAGCTTTCTTCTAGGTCCCCTTTAGGTACTGGAAAGTGCTATAAGGTCTCCCTGGAGCCTTCTTTTTTCCAGTCTGAACAACCTGAACTCTCTCAGCCTGTCTTCATAGGAGAGGTGCTCCCAAAATTTCTCTGCCTTACA